TAAGATCGTTAAATACATGCATAATTTTTATTTGTTCCAAGCGGTCAATAAATATCAAAATATCAACTTTATAATCCTAAGCTTTTGAATTATTAATCTTACATTCATGATATTAGGATTTTGTTTAAAAATAGCTTGAATGAACAACAAAATAACTTTTTAAACACTTCTTGTAATATAATACAATAATTATTTGATATATAAAAATAAACAGTAATAGAATCAACCCAAATATCAAAAATAAATTTTGAGAATGAAACAAAAAGTTTTAACTTAGGCGTCTTAGAGTTTATTATGGATCCTTTTGAGCAAGATGAAAAAATTTAAGAAATTTTAATTAATTGTAAAACAAATTATTATGATGAGAGTTTAGCATATTTAATGAGAGCTAAAGCCTTTCTCTGTTAATTAGGGGAGTTTTATATTTCCTCAAGTTGCCAATAATGTTAATCAGAATAAGGATTTTATTCAGTCACATATAATGCAACAAAATGTTCAATTTTTGATAAAAACAAATTTGAGGCAATTACATCGAATTAAATTCTATTAAAAATTGGTTATTGGAGACCACATTACACTTCTGATGATGTAGAATTATGTTATAAAAACCAATATCTTTGTTAAGGAGGTTGGGGTGTTAATAATGATTTATGTTTTAAGGGACATTTAGGAGGACTTTGTGAAGAATGCGATAGATTTAATATAAGAGGTGATGGATAATTCTTTAAAAATTAATAATCAGTAGAATGTGAGCAATGTTAGGATGCTACCAAGCGGTTAATAGCATTTTTTTTAATTTCAATATGGTATTGCAAATTTTAATAAATTATAGGGCTATTTTATCAACACTATTAACTATCGGCAGTATTGAAAAATCAAATATATTATTTGCATAACTTAAACTTAGATAAAAGTTTGCTAATATTTTATTCAAACTGAATTAAGGTATTAATTTATTTATATTAAAATATTTAGATCATGAAAGTATTTTATTTAAATTATTTCTTAATTATTTATGGATATTTTCACTCATCTTTACATTTAATATTAAATTAACCATATCTTTAGGTATTTTTAAATAATCAAATGATACTTCATATTTTATGACCAATTTTTTTGAATGTTTTTTGTCTGAAATTTAAGAGATAGAATTAATTTATAGTAGAATCATAGTTATGTTAGTCCTTATGCTTTGTTAAATATTAGTAATCTTTATTGGTTTTAAAATTTTTTCAATAATTAAAAACACTAAATTCAAAAGCCTAATTATTTCAATTACTATCTTATAAATGTATGTACAAAATTATGCTTCTTTACTTAATCAGTAATAATATTTATTTTTTATAATTAGATTTTTTTCTATTTTAGTTGGTAGATAGATTTCAAATATAAAATACATATCAGGTGATGTATCATTACTGTATGGATCTAAAAATCATATTTCTTGGATATATGGATTTTCAATACCTGGATCTTGCTTAATTGGATTCATTTTACCCTCATTAATATTTTTGATTTTGTACATCTATAGAGATTAACATGATAAAATAAAGTTTAGAAGGCATTTAGGATATTTATTTAATGAATATACTTAAAATAGCTATTTTTGGGAAATTGTAAAATTATGGAAAAAAACTATTATCATTCTTATCTTAATATATTTTTAAACTGACATATATTTTAAAGCATAATTATTAAGCCTTTGCTTATTGTTTTACTAATTGATTGCCTCTAAATATAAACCTTATATACTTAAGAAACTTAATTAATTAGATAATTAAAGTGTATAATTTTGCTTAATTGCAATATTTTTAGCAGTTCTCAAAAATATATCTGAATAAAAAGAAAATGATAATATTTCAGCAATCATTCAAATATTTATTATTGTAGATAGTATTATATTGAGTTATCCATTTATTATGAATATTCTAAATACTTATATTCTCAAACACAAGGTAAAAGTCATTTCATTACTCATAAATATGTTTTCAGCTTTTAAACCTAATTTTGCAATTACAAAATTCCTTAGAAATAGACTAAATAAATGGAAATAAAAAGAAGAAAAAGCAAAATAAAATATTGTAAAAATAAGAAAAATTCTATTCAAAAAAAACTATATTTTCAGAAAATAGTAATATACTATAGTATTTTAGGGTTAAACTTAATGAATAAAAAACTGAATTGGTATAACTAACCGTTTAAACTAATTTCGATAAAGATATATGAATTATGTATAAAAAAAAAAATAATTCCCATTATTCCTTTTGCATGTTTATCTATTTTTCTTAAGTT